ATTATGAGTATGATAAGTTTTCAATTCATGATTTAAAAATTTATTGTGGTTGCCCGAATTATATACGGACCAGTTTGAGTCTATGTAAGTTAATATATTCATTGTCATCTTTCTGTCTGGTGACCTGCTGCTGTGACCTTGTGATCTCTATCGTCCAGCTTGAACTGAAACAATCCGGTGCAGTAGGATTTAGATTTGATGCCTTACAGTTGCTTTCAATTAAACTTTACACACTATACGTTTCACAACTTCAACAATATCGAGAGGCAGAATTGATGAGTGACAACACAAATATTTTTAAACGCCCGCTTTTTTGGTAGGTTCCGATTAGACGGATTTGATTTGGTCGCAACAGTAAAACAAAAAAGGAAAAGATCGGTTTTTTAATAACAGTTCCAGATAATGCACACAATGTTTAGTGGAAAAAACCCATTTAAAATTTCGAATTTTCATTTTTTTCAAATCTGTGAAATAACTTTTTCTGGCCAATAAATTTAATCTTTTCTCAAAAATTTGTTTTGCTCTGAGTTCTGTTTAGCTAGTTCTACATGCATAATTTCGAACATCTGTTGCATTAAGGTATCATCAAAAATAACGAAATAGATCACCCTTGAACGCGCAAAACAGCATTTAAGGCATATTTCAGTTTTTTTGGCAACAGTTAGTGAAATAGATTATAAATTATTGTAGCGTAAAACTGACCAAACTAATCCAATATTTCAAACAGAAATATACAACAGAATGAGTGCAGAATCGAGCGAGAATTGGCGGTTGCTGTGCAAGTAGCACAAAATTTTCCGATCACCATTATTTTAGTAAGCTAAAAAAAGGAAAGTCACAGAAACTGAGCTTAAAACATAAGTAAGGAATTAATTCTGAAAAGAGTACGCAAAACGACAAACATATATATTGTTTTTCGCATTTTTGTTAACAGTCTTTTGCTCATCTTGCTGGCTTTTCTCGACACTGATAAAAATTGGGAAGTTTGGTTACACACCGGTTAAAGTACTAGAATTTTTTTCCAAATTGGATTGACTCATGCTGTTTGGTTTTTTCTAATATTTTCCTTCATTCGAAATATATCCCTTTATACTTTACATAGCGCGTGAGGAGACGATTTTCAAAAAAAAAACATCAAAAAAAGTGATTGAAAAGTTTTCAGTTTTTTTTTTGAAACTTTCATCAATTATCTTGTTCGCCCTGATACGAAAAATTGTGTTAATTTATCATCAATAATGGCTAACTTGGTTTTTTCAAATCTTCCTAATTTTGCAAAAGAAGCTTTTTTCAAAATTTAGCTCAAGATATCAGTAGTTTCCTGCTGATAATAAGAAATTCTGTCAAAAATGGCTTGTTAAAAACTGAAAATGGGTCGAAAGAAAACCAAAACATGAAGAGCTACGAATTAAAGTAAATTTTGAGGTAAAAAGAACTGCCTAAAAGAGTTGAGATTTAATGCGAGCTATCGAACCTTGTTCTTTCATATCCTGGTCGCGTTGCTCAACCTTTGCTCTGGCTTTCACAGTCGAAGACAAAGTCAATGCTTGACCAAAAGCGCTGAGTTGAATGAGAGGAGTCTGGGTTGTGCACATTTTCGAGACATAGCCGAGAGTTCAATCGAAACGTAACTTGAGCACGCTGGGAAGCAACTATACCTTTTTCCAATTAGATTGACCCGCATCCAAGTTTAGGCGTAAATAATCGATTATAACGGATTATTATGATGATTTTTTGACAATTATAATCGATTATAATTACCAAAATTAGGTCTTTAAGGGATTTATAATTGATTGTTATCGTGATATTTTCCATGAGATTATTATCTCTCATAATCGATTATAATTGATTATAATTGATTATAGTTCTTACTAAAAACCCTTAAAATCAATTATAATCGATTATAATCGATTATAATCTCTTATTTTGCCGAAATTTTCTTATATTCGAAATATAACTTTTGGGTTATTTTTTTGTGTCAATAAAAAATCTCTCAAAGAGAGATCTCTTGAACACTTTGGTTCATCTGAACACAAAGTTATACCGCGAAACAAAAGTTTCATAGAGATCCTTTCATATGAGTGGAAAGGTTCTCGCGGTAGATGAAAAATAAATTTTCCAAATCAATCATGAAACTAAATCAATTTGCCGATGTTTTGGTGTTTAAAAAAGCTTAACATATGCATCACAAACAACTCTAATGGGGAAGAAATGAAAAAAAAAACATATAAATTTGAATTAATTGGAAAACTTTAAAAACATTTTTCTTATTTTTCATAGGAACCAACGTACACAAAAAGCATAAAATATAAGCAATTTAGATGCAACTTCGAAGACAAAAATGGACAAACAAAAGGGATTATAATCAATTATAATCAATTATAATAGATTTTTGTGCAAAACTACTATAACAGAAATTTGAATAAAAATAATGGATTATAATCAATTATAATCGATTATAACTGTATCGAAAAATAGACGAATAAATAATCGATTATAATCGATTATAATGGATTAAAATTGATTGTTTCTCAATTTTAGTGAGACTGGTACTAAAATCGTAATATAATCGATTATTAACGCTTGAAACTGGATGCGGGGAGACAGTTGATAAATATTTGAGTTCGATCAAAAACAATTGAGGAATTTACTTTTGCTGAGAAAATTGTTTTTACCTAGTTTTGGTCGATATGGTCATAACAAATTTGAATTGAGCTCATTTTTTGTGTCCGAATTTTTAAATCATACCCGAACTTGGTCTGTTACTTATGCTGCTGATATTTGCTGTATTTTATTTTCTCTGTAGTCCATCTCGTTTGATCCTGCGATTGTCCATCTCAGACTTGTTTTCATTGCTCGTGTAACATTAGCTGGTCCTTAGTTTGTTATTTGAGTTGAATTATTTCAAATTATATGTTGTCTGTTCCCCGCATGATGCATATTGAAAATCGCTAAACTTGGGGATTTTCATGTAGCCCAAGTGATCGTGCTTTCGACAAATGCCGTTGAGTTTCTCGGTTTTTGCTGCGCTGACGTTGATTTTATCCTTCAAAAAAATGTTTGAATGTTAATGAAGTGTTCAAAAAGGGTGATAGCGTCCGTTTTTATAGCGTCCATGGTATGAATGTGATAGCGTCCATAGAGTCAAAGTATCGTCCAAGGAGGATCGGCCTGATGTGTTTTTTTTCTGTAGTTCCAAAAATTTGGACAATTTTCGATAATGATTTGCAGCTGTTCGTACTTCCACTGTCGAGAAAAACATTCCAGTCTATGAATCTTTGGTGATGCTGGATATTCACCGGTATTAAAGGGAGGAAAGAGTTTATACTAAGAAGCGCTGGCTTTTGACTGGCTAGGTAGTTTGATTGATTTAGCTTCTGGCTGGTGTTGAACAGCAGGCATTTTTGTCGTTGTTCGTTGTGCAATCTTGGTTGAACCTGGTTTCAACTCTGGCATGTGAGTTCTAACGGACATTCATTCACTTAATGATCGTGTCCGAGGCACTTCTAACAGAATTTTATGTTCATCGATACCATCGTTTTTTCTTCTAAAGGCGAACCCTACGACTGGCTGCTCTATGCTGGGTGCATTTTTGCCCGTCTAAGGGGCGTAGGGATCCGTTATTGGCATTCCAGTTTTCTGATGTCTACTGTGAAAGCTGGTTGGTTGAATGTCGTAACCCGCTGGCTTGTCGAGGTCGTGAAAATCCGTGCTGTTTTCTCGTGTCTGATGCCACTTGCGGAGCGCTACGATGTGTGAATAAGTTTAGAGTTGGGAGTAGCTACCAAAATGAATAGCGGGGGATGCACAGTTGCATGACATGTTGCTGCGGTGTCTTGATGTTCTTTGACAATTTTATGACTGGGGGTGTCGTTTCTGCTGACAAGTGCTGCTGGTTGGCAGAATTAGACGTGTGAGGGACTTGAACTAAATTGCCGTCAATATTCTGCTGTTGTGGTATTGTCTCAGTTGTATTTTTTTGAGGCAAATGTCTGAAGTCACCCATGATGTCGTTGTGTTCATGTTGTGTTTCAGGGAAGCGGTTGATGCGATCCTCTGCTGTGGCATGTTATTTGGGAAGTCTACAAAAAGGGTAGTGGTGTTTTGAATTTTGCTGAGTATTTTTTTCACCTCTGTCTCTCAGTCAGCTATGTTGTAGTTCATATTGATATCAGTAGTTGTTTCTCGTTTTCGTCTGAAAGGGCGCTCTCGTTGGTGGTTAAGAAGACTTCCCTGAGTGAGATTGGTTTTGTTGCGCTTGGTTAGCTCGGTGTCTCAGATTTTGTTATCGTTGCAGTTGTTGTAGACGTCATATCCATCGGTAGCTGTGAACTGTCTTTGAGATTGGTTTCGTTGGGCATGGTTAGCTCGGTATTCTGATCGTTGTTGTCGTTTCCGTTGTTGTAGATGTTGTATTCAGTGATGGCTGTGAACTGTCTTTGTTAGTTCCTATCTTGAGTAGCTAGACCTAAATTCAAAGGTTCGAAACGAAAAGAACAATGATGCAGTAAATATTTATTCAAATGAGTTTAACGCAGTAAATGATTTAAACAGTTGAAAGTTAGAAATGCTTGATAGTAGATCATTTCAATAATTAGACAGGCGGCAAAAAATATGCAAACCAGATATAATTTTAACTAAATATTTCTAAGCAAATGTTGAGCGAATCATTGCAAAGTCGGAAAATCAGTTTAATTATTTGGAATCAGATAATCTCAAACACCGTTCGTTTTCTACATGGCGTCCAACACGGGGCACGATGCAGAAAACGAATGCTGTAGAACGGTCATACTTTTCTTTTCTTCATTAGACTTTTAACATTTCAGGAATTTGAATGTTTTTATATCAATTAGTTGGTTGCACATAATAGTTGCTTCAGTTTCGTTAGTTTTCCTATTTGAGTTCATCTGACTCCTATTAATAACGCAGATTTTCTGATTTTGCATAAGGACAGCTTAGTTCTAAGTCACTTGTTGCAGTTGGCACGTTACATCTTCCGGTAATTCTCAATCTGGTCGGAAAAAAAGCTTTGGAGAATCAATTTGATACACCACACAAAACGTTCGAAAGTCCTCAGCTATCAAGAGAGTTATATAATCATTGGACAATAGGGAATATTATGTTCTATTCAAACGCAATCAAAATACGCTGAGTTGATTAGAGCCTGCTAATAAGTATAGCTCTGAAGGATTTTACCGTCTCCAAAATAAATAGTTTTACCGCTTAAATAAATAAGGCATCAAGTTTGACCTTTCCTTTGAGATTCAATTGCATTAATTTCAATCATAATCCAGCCACTCTTTGATTTAATTACAGTTTTCTTTATTAAGGTCAATTCATTTTTTTCTTGATCGTTTCTCCATAATGGGTAACCTTGGATACAAACTTATTTTTCTAATTTCCCTCCAAATTGTTTCTTTGACATGTTTGGACATCGAGTTCGGAGAGTGTCCCACGTATCTAATTCCGACTCATATTTTGAAGGAGTCGACTGCAGGAAGATGGTATCAAATAGCAACTTTCAATCCCAGCTTTGGCGACAGACTTAGACCTTGTGTTTATGTCGACATTGATTTGAACAAAAATTTCTTAGGTAAGATAAACATGCAATTTCCAAAACTACCAGTTGCTTCTGAAAATACTCAATTTTTGAATCTAAAGATGAATTTTATCTTTTACGAATTTTTTTTATGTTTCTTGAATACCTAAATGGAACATTTCTTCATAATGTTTTTAATTTTTCTTATAAGATGTCTTAAAATTCGAGTTTAGTATAAATTTTAAAATACAACATCTCATTTAAAAAGATAGTAGATGAATTGTGTCGAATTTTATTGTCATTTCCTTTAGAATAAATTACAATTACTTTCAGGACATCTTACCATTGAAATCAACACAACTACTTACGACAAAATCCAAAATTCTTTTACGAAGACTCATCTGAAAGGAAGACAAGCTGCTATTCATTGGGGCACCGGTATTGGGGAATTCCAGTTACACAATGGAAATCTAACTGGTGTTTACCATTTAAGCCTCTTTATTCAGATTAAAACTCCGAAAATCCTAAAAAACGTTTACGTATAAATGGCGCAGATATATGTTCCAAATTTTTTATTCTGGTAGAGCACGGACATTTTTTTTGGGCGCAATAAAATTTTATCTATTGTCTATAGGGTTAATGCTAAATGACAAACACTCAATCAAATATTCGATATTTTCGTTTTAGTGGTGACTGGAGTTTTGGGATGAACTTTCTCTTTCCTGTCATAATATTTATTTTTCAATCGATACAATAATAATAATGAAAATAAAATGTTTCCAAACGATATCTAGTTACAAAGTTATTTATAAAAGTTGATAAGTACAAATTAGAATCGTTTGGGAGAACACAATTAAGCCAACATGGCCCATTTTCAGGTGTCTCATTAAGCGGAGAACAAGAAAAGTAGTTAAATTCTTTGATCCAATGCAATGGACCTTCCATCCGTAAACATTTAATAAACGTAATGCCTCTTTATTCGCACCTTTAAACCATTCTCGATATAGAAAAAAAAATTAATTTTTTTTTCGGGTAGTCTTTTCCTTTCTAACCATAACCTAGAAACCAACAGAAACAAAATCTACTTATTGATAAAAAAAGAATCTCAAAGCATGCCCAGTAAAACCGTATTTCCAAGAATGTAATTATCAAAACTGAGAAGCCCCATTCAAGAAATTGACCCAGACCGGAAAAAAATTTATTACAAAGTTCGTTCAAATTTTAGGTGTAATCAACCCTCTGTTGAGTTTTATTTCTATTTATAGCTAACTTTTGATTTGGTTTTTTCTTTGAAAATCTCATGTTTAATTCTTGTTTAATTATGGAGTATCTCAAGGTATCAACTTGGCACTCTTTTCGAAAAAATTTCTCGGTTAATTTCAGAACTTCGTACGCAAAAAGTTCTCTTACGGTATATATTTTTTTTTCATGCATTATTTTAGTGGTTAAATCCATCCTGTGTTTATAAAAAATTATTCTGATTAGCCTTCTGATTTTCATTTCCGTTTCTAGCTGTTTGGTTTTGTCGGTATTTGCAAAAATAAAACTTCATTTTGGATGATTGGTTGCACATAACTTTTATACGCAAATGTTAAATATAAAAACAAACATAAAAAACACTCCATAGAATTGTAAAATTTTGTTTTTTAATTTATCAATATGCTGATGTAAATTCAATTTACAGTCAAGGTGAATTCCAAGATATTTAAAACATTCTACATCTTGAATTTGGGTGACATTTAGAAAATACTTGACTGGTCTTTTTTCAGTTATTTTGCTCTGACAGTATCTCATGGTTTTGGTTTTTCGACATTCAGTTTCAATTTGTTCTTGTCTAACCAATCATTTACTTCAAGCAAAGCCGATTGATGTGCGAAAGCAATATAATCTCTGTTATTTGTGGAATTCAGAACAGTGTCGTCAGCATACAAAAGTACCTCTGTGTTTTTTTTTGTGGCTAATTGTAGATCGTTTATGTAGAGTATGAACAAAAGCGGGCCAAGGATAGATCCCTGAGGTACACCAAAAGATACCAGTTTAAGTTCGGTCTTAAAGGAGTTATTTTCGATGTACTGATAGCGATTGTCAAAGTAAGATTCCAAGAAAATTAAGAGAGGCCCTCTGAATCCCACATGTTCCAATTTTCCTAACAGATTAGAGTGATCAACTTTGTCAAAAGCCTTTGTTAGGTCTAAAAAAGTATTCTGAACAGTTAGTTTTTTGTTCGATAGCGATGTTGAAACTTCTTCCAACAATGTAAGGATGCCGTCAACAGTGCTTCTTTTTGATCTGAAGCCAAACTGAGTATTTCGGATAATATCAAACTTGTCTACATATGATTGGGTTCGTTTGAAAATTAGACGCTCAAAAAGACGCCCATAACTGGAAGAAGACGCTCAATTAGACGCCCATAACTGGAAGAAGACGCTTTGAAAAAAGACGCTCAATTAGACGCCCATAACTGGAAGAAGCGAGATTGGTCTATAGTCTGAGGGGTCATTGAGGTCTCCCTCTTTGAAAATTGGTACAGTTTTTGCTATTTTTAAACAATATGGATAGATTCCTGAGGTTAGGCAGTCATTCAAAATTTCAGTCAAAGGGCCTGCTCGTATAGTTTTTAATTGCTTGATGACAACAGTGTTGATATCATAGAAATCTGTACTAAATTTATTTTTAGACTTTCAATTACTTTAATGACTTTTATTAAATCAATTTTTTTTTCAAAAACATCGATTGGTGCTGACGGATAACATTGTTTTCTATGCAATTTGGTTTGCTTTCTGAAAGTCTGGCACCAACAAGTATTCGTTAAAAAGGTCAGCATCTCCCTTCGATAGATTCAGTGATTTGGAATTTTTCCCTTTACCTCTCATTTCTTGAAAAATATCGGAAAAACTTTTCCTTTTACAGTTAGACGCAAGCATTAATGTATTTTGATAGTAATTTTGTTTTTTACAATTAGGTTTTTGACAATGTTATTTTAGGAATTATATTTGTTCCGCGCATCCGTTGTTTTAATATTCAAAAACTCTTGTCGTTACCGTCGCTTTTTTGCTGCTGCATTTTTTACTTCATTGTCAATCCATGAATGTCTTTCTGATTGTACTATTAAAGGCATCGGAAAAAAAGTATCAACTGCCTTCATAAGAATCAAATTTATTTTTTTAAAAATCTTAGAAGACTTTTGAGGGTCTTCGGGTTTCCATAACTGCATACTTTTGCCAATCTCATGCTGCAAATAAACACTTAATTTCTCATTTATATCCCTATTTCTTACTTTGTTCCGGTTTCTAGCAAAAATTTTGTCAGTTAAAACGTCCTTTTTCACAAAATTTGAAAAAAAAAACTGAACACCAAAATGATCAGACACTGAATTTTTGATAATTTTTGTTGAGAAATTTGATGTAAAGAAAAATAAGTCAATCAAAGTGCTACTACGTTCTGTCACTCTTGTTGGGAGGCAGCTCATTTTGTTTTCTAACATGCCTTTTCTTATCATAATATCTTCAATTTTCATTCGTTTTTGCTCTAATTTAACAGAAAGTTTACGTTGAAATCACCACAAATTATGTGTTCAGTTTCAGGCTCTAGTGTTAATCCATCCAAATAATTTGGCAGGCTTTCGAAGGTAGCGTTGTCTAGAGAGTTTGGTGGAATGTAAACACAGGCTACTACAGTTTTCTGATTTGTTTGGGTTTTTATGAGAACTGACAAAATTTGGATATTGTTATCTTTTTTTTTGTTTTAGTATCATATGGTCTGATCCAGTGTTAACATAGATGCCAATACCTCCTCCTCGTTTACTTCTGGCGCAACTATAGAGTGGTTCGTATCCTTGAATTTGGAAAACATCATTGTCAGAGTTGTTTTTGAGCCAGGTTTCAGTTAAACAAATTATATTTGGACGTTGGGCTAACTGCTCTACTTCTAATTCAAATTCTTCAAAATTTCGCGTGGTTTCTTAGCTTGTTGAAAATTTAATCAATTTGTAAAGATCTTGCTTTTTTTAATTAAAGTTTTCAAACAACAACAAAAAAACTGTGTTATTTTGAAAGCTGCGGAAATTGCCACAATGAGTTGTCAGAAACCAGAAACCACCCAGGGCAGTGCGGGAATCACACAAAATCTAGATAGTTTCCCGTTCAGTTTTGACTCCCGTACAAAAGTCTTTCATCCCCCCTCCAATCCCTCGCCTCCTTCTTTTCATTTTTCAATTTTCATCTTTTTCCATTTTCCTGAATTTTTCCAGTCTTTTATACCTTTCCTGCATCTACCTTTAAGAATCGTATGAGCAGCACGGAAATCACGCAAGCTGTGGCATCTAGTAGAGCGGGATAATTTTCCATTTTGAGTTTATTCTAATTTTGTTTTAAAAGAAAACAAAACATAATTTAGTTTAATTAACCACAAAGCAGCGCGGAAATTGCACCAACTTAGTTCTGTTTTTTTTTAGAGAAAGACTACTTTGAATGTTTTTCTTTATTAAGTCTTAGACCAGCAGTGCAAAAATCACACAAACTGACCTAAGGTCTTGTTGGAGAATAATCATTTATTTATTCGCTTATAGTTCCTAAGTTAAGAAAAATTTGAAAACTAAACGCAAAAAAATGAGAAGAAAAAAATATATAAGTTAAAACAAAATTATAAAAAAAGAAACAAAATTAATTCTATCACCCTTTTATTTTTTTACTTCGTTGTTCGCCTAAAAAATTAATAACATAGAGTAATTCAACATTTTTTGTCACAAACACTACCAGTTTGGGCTAGAATAGCACTTCATATGCTTAACAGTTAAGCTCAATTCTTTGTTGTGTTTTTCTGTCAAATTTTAACAGGCGGCACACATTATCCGTTCAAAATCCAGTCAATGAGTTGGTTTTTTGTTTGCAGGGGATTCCCCTTCATTGTTGTCATGTCAAGAGTCGGTGTAGATTCGTTTTTTTTTCGCTTAACAGCATTAACCGTTTGCAATTCATCAACTGCGTCGACTCACGTAAACTTTGTTTCGCCCCGACGCTTTTCATCATGGACAAGCACTGATACGATGCAATTATGAGTGGTAGTTGTCAAGTCCGTATCATTGGCTGCTTTCTTAAGTATTGCCTCTTGTTCAGGAAGGCGCTCCGTAATGTGTATATTACGCTTGTTTAAACTGTTTTTCTGATATTTCAGATTCCTCCTGGCCTTGCATACAGCGTGCTTATCGTCAAAGTATACAAACTTGCAAATGATAGTAGGCATATTGTCTCCGTAATTTCCCATATACATGTGACAAGCTTTAATTCCCCCACGAGAAATGTATATTTTCAGACTTGTCTTGAAAAAATCAATTATCGCATCCGTAACGTCAGTTACTGCCCTTTTATCGAACGGCGGATTCCATACAAGCACACTATCCTTGCTTGTATACTTTTCCTAAGCTCGCAGCCTGGTATCTATTTTTAACGGCTTGAGTTTAAGACCCGTAATTTCGCACTCTTGTTTCTCAAATTTTTCCCGCAAAAATAACAACTCCGATTCCATTACACTCACTTTTTTATCTCCAGTATTTTTACTCACGGATATCTCTTGGGTTGCAGAAACCTGAAGCTGAGTTCCACAGTCGGTTTCCATCATAATAACAAAAGCTCAAATTGATAACAAAAAACAATCAAGAAAGAATCGTTTTTTTTAAAACGTCTGAAATAATAAATCAGCGTGGGAAATTATCTGAGATTTTTTGGTAATAATGAGGGCTTATCAATTTATCAATGCTTCCAAATTTGGCGTAGTTTTGGATTTATTTGGGGCTTGATTCAAATTTGAGGGGTTAGATTCCTAATTTTATCATCGAAATTTTCTATTGTTTGATCTTTTCTTTGTCGTTTCGAAACACGCGAGAAAAAAAAAGTTCAGAACATTTGAAAGTCAACCGACCGATTTCTAAGTTTGATTTCTAGTTTGATAGTTTTCGTAGTATAATTAGTAGCAAAAAGTTCGGACAGACTGAATTAATTAAAATGAGTAATCAGTTCTGTTCGACGCTTTTTTGCCTGCAAAATCTGAAGCCGAAAAACCTTGAATTTTTCGTCAGACTAAATTCAAAATGCGAGATCGTCGATTATCCGATGATTATGCTAGCCTAATTTTTAAATACTGCGATGACATCCAGATTTTAAGGTAAAAAAAAGTTCGACGCTTCGGATGCAATTGCCCGCCGTGGTTATAGGTTTTGAGCGAAACTTGGATCTACTTAACAATCTCCAGCCCTGTAAATAAAAACAGTAAATTCGCACTAGAGCATTGTATGTAAATTCGAATTTTGCTGAATTCTGATTTGTCAAAAATTTGCTGCAAGTCATCTTATAAACGATCTCCACCCCTTTCTTGAAAAGAGGATTGTTAAGTAGATCCCGTAACTTTGCTTTATGAACTTTCGACGTTGTGTTTATTTAAGTTTTAGTTTTCGTTGATGTCTAGACAGTTGCTCTTTTTATATAATTCTGTCTGTCCGAACGTTTTGCAACTCTCTATTTTTTTAACAACAAAAAATTCGTTAATTTTATAAGGGGCTTGGATGGTTACATACCCATTCAGTGACCGATGAAAAAACCTATGCGAACTTCCACATTGTATACACCAATGACAAATACCTTCTTGTTTACTTTTGCAACGAACTGGCCAACTTCTACCATATTCGACACGCTTGGATTCTTTCACGAGATAGGAATGTTGGGCAAAATAATTTAGAGTATCTGAAAACAATCATGAGCTTCATGACTGGAACTGATATTTTAGAAGACAACTTTGCAGACTTTGATAAACTGCAGTGTCCGTTAGAAATTACTAAATAGAAGTCAAGAGATTACGAATCACATTAAATGTTTTATATTGTTGTGATACAATTTATTGGACGGTTAGTATGGTGAGCGCGGGGTGGGGAGCGGGTGGGGTATGGGGGGGTAGTATGAATAATTGTTGTAAACTTAACAATTTAACCACCTAAAAGGCTGCTATGTTTACCGCCGAGTTGGATAAATTCGCCGAGCCTTTGAAAAGCAGTTGGAACGCCCACCATGATTCGTGCTCGTTCCTTGAGGGTGCGGCAACATTACCCAGCACAGAAAAAAAAACCAAAAAAATAGCATGTAGTTCTTAAGCAGGGGCTCGCCGTGATCAGCTGTACAGTAGTGTTGTGTTGGTCCGTTTCCTCGTAGATTAATTGTCTTTTCTTGAATGTTCCGACTGCTCATTAACTCGTCTCGAAAAAATGTTGCTTTTTTGAAAATCTGTATATTTTGCCACCCCAAGCATTATATTAAAAAAGTGTTTTAAATCGTATACGGAAAACAACCAATATTTTGGAATTGATTCAATATATCATGATTTTGAGAGCGGTCTAATTTTGATCATGTTTTATTTGCCTGACATGATTTTCTTCGAATACCTTTTCCATATTCGATTTCGATAAAAATGAGAGTTTGTGTAAGGTTTCTTATCTACATATTGAAGACTTTTTAATTTGAGGATATCCTTCATTATCCCCCAAACAAGCAAATAGCCCCCCCCCCCTCTCACCCCACATGCTCTCCCTTCCCGTTTTCCTGGGTAACTGGATGAGTTGGTAGATGTATGCTCATCTAGGGTTAGTCGAATCAGGCGTTTGCTTCAAGCACAAACTCCGATCAAACCAAGGAACTCATTAAAATTTTTCACTTTACCGAATCATCCAATATGTTAATAAGATTATCTTTAAAAATTTAAAATTTGGTTTTATTAATGCAAAATCTTAGCCTGTTATCATACTTGATTTGATTTGAGTAATTTAGTCATATCTCAATTCTCAATTTGAAGGTTTTGACAACGGTTTTTGAAGTATAGAACGGTTACACTATGTAGATCATGATTAATAATTGCTCTCTAAAGCATATATAAAAGAGGTAGAATGTTACTATTAGTTTTTTTATTTACTGGTTGCGTTTTTTTAATCACTGTTATTGGAGTAGCGTGTTTTTTTTTTGTTCCTAAAAAATTTTGAGATTTGATTACACTTAAATTTCAATTTCGACTGCTCAATTTCATTTTTACACGTCTAAATTTTTTTAAAAATCCACTTCAATCGGTTTGCTGAAAAGAAGGCAGGTTACGATGTCGAAGAAATAAAGTTCAAATGGCGCAAAATAGTGTCATCTGTTTCTCTTATCAAAGTTAGAACCTTATTTTTCATTCATGTTTTAAGCGTTTTGTCGGTTTATGGGATTTATTATCAATCACAAAAATTCTTCAAATTTGATAAAGCATGAGGTATTTTTTTTATTCAACACTCAAAAACTGATATAAATTTGAGAAAACAAAAATCTTCTTGACTTCTTTAATGAAAAGGTTGTGTGAATTTTTCTTATTCTATATTTTTTTATTTCAGCGGTTTATTGCAACGGCTGACTATTTGGATTCGGTACCAAACAAACCTGTTTACTATCACTTAACGAATTTAAATTTCTCATTTTAAAAATTGCTACTATTGCTTGTCCCGGCTGTAGTTTTACTTTTCTGTCTAAAAAAAGTGGTACCTTGTTTTCGTCTGTTATTATCCTATTAATTGGTTTTTTAACATACTTCCGATCCGGGTTCCTAATCCTTATTAGACCGTTGTTCAAGTCGATCATCACGTCGAAATTCCTGACGAAATCTCTGCCAAAGATGAATTGGTCGGCGTCGTCCAAACTCTCTACCACCAGAAAGCTCATCTAAAGATCCCGTCCTCCCATGTGGAGGACCGTTATTGGTTTTCTTCCGGCTACGTAAATCACTCCTCGATTGGCTGCAGCCAGTCGGAGATTCGTCGGAATTAGATCTTCCCTCGTGAAGCCCATTCTTTCCCAAGTCTTTATCGGCATCACACTCACTACCGCTCCTGTGTCCAGACTCCCTGTGACTCCGATTTTCTTTCCGTTGGTGTCGAGCAGATGTGCAGTCATATCTGCTTTGTATCCAATGTGTACTGCGTCTTGCTCCATCATGGCGTCATGACCTATCCTGCGGACTTTGAGTTCCTCCTCACCCAAATAGATCTGTACTATCTAGTCACTGTCTGTTGTTACATATGTCCTAGTGTAGATACTGATTCCATCTACGTTCAGCATCACTTGATACGGTCCATAGACTTTCACGTAGAGCCCGTGAAGCTTCTTTATGCGAGGGCCACCTGTTGTTAGTAATGCTCGCACAGCTCTTGACTCAGTGCGGGCTCCACCTGCCTCAGATAATCTGCATATGCGTCCAAATGCATCAAAGTGAACTCTGATTTTTCACTCAGATTTCTGATTACCTGGTGTCCCGCTACCGAGATTATTGACTGTATTTTGCTTCCTTGTGGCACCATACCGAACATCTGCCCGGAGATCACATCGAGTTTCATGCTCAAACTACTCGGTGCCTTTGTTTCTTCGACTTCTGTTTCCTCGAAGGTATTCAGCTTCTCCTGTAATTTCTCATTTTCCAGTTCGAGCTTCACTTTTTGCTCGATCTCTTTTGTTACCAGTTCCTGTTGCGCTCTATTTAGAGAATCCCTCGCGGCTGCCCTATAATCGATCTTGAAGTCATCAGCCGCAGTAGCTGGTTCCGGTTCACGTGTCTCTTCTGTTACCGCTGGCATTTTCTTTGCCGCCAGCTCTTGAGGTTTATCTTTTCTGCGTGTCTCCGCTTCACTCAACAGGCGAGCTTTGCTGGCTTTCACTCCTGACAAAGCTTCTTCATGCCTTGGATGCTTGATGTCTGCCACTGCATCCCAGAGTTGCGGACAATCTGATCTAAAATGACCTTCCAAGTTGCAAAAGAAACACCTCGGGTGGGCCGAGTTTTGCAATTACTCCTCTCATGAAATCTTCATGATCGACTTCTGATGCATCTTCGTCCTCGAGGCTAAAGCCTATTGCTTTCATGCCCTGTTTGTAAGTTGGGCATACTGACACATGATGATCCGTTGAACTGCAGTTTGCACAAGAGCGCCTCTTGTCCATATCGTCCCTCGGTTTATACCAGTTGTTCCTTGGTTTGCTGGTCCGTTGTTAAGATTGCCATAATTGTTCTTGTAATATCCAGATCTCGATGGAGGTTTCAGCAAAAGATATTCTTTTGACTTAAGCCTCAACTCCTCTGGTGTTGGCGCATTGGTTGATAGTGGTGTGTAATGCATTGCTTACATTGTTCGAAGTTCATCATTCTTCACACCATTGACGAATTTTGAGGCTACCGCCAGGTTCATCCTCCTGTCCGACTCGTCCGGTTGGCTACGCCTTCTAATCATCTCCAAATTGTCTAGAAACTTGTCTATCGTCTCATCTTCTCATTGCCTCCTTTTCTCGAAGCGTATCATTGCTTGGTGTCCCTGCACCCCTGAGCCAAAACGATTTAACAAGATCTCAAAGAGTTTTTCAGCAGTATCCCGCTGATATTGCTTTTTGGCCATCACACAATTTAGGGCTGTCCCTTCCAAGTTACTGGTGAGCGCACTGCACTCTTGCCTTTCTGACAGGTCTTCTTCCTCAAAATGCAGTATCATCACTTCTATCCAGGTGTCAATGCAGCCATCAGATTCGTCCTTGTAGCATCTTGGTTTCTTAAAGACTCTTCTGGACTTTTCACTACGTTCATTGGTTCTGGATAACCTCGTCAGGAATGTCTCCAAAGACCTGTTTAGGGGTTTAAAGGCTGAGGCCATTGCTGTGGCATCTCTTGAATGCCCCGCCTGAGTATCATCGCCTCCTGATAAGGTATCTGTATTTGGTATATCCCTTCTATCCGAATCGCCGGGATTGTTTCTACCTTGGCTCGCATGACTCATCCCTGGGCTTGCATGACTCCTTTTCCTGGAATCACTTCTCCCCGTCGCATGTGTGCCTTGCGTCGGTCTTTCGTTTGAAGTCTGTCTATTGCCAGTTGAACTTCCTCTGAAGTATGGGCCCCATGTTCTATTATCCCCTAAGGCATAGCCTACTGAACTGCCCCTACCTCTAGTGGATCCATATGTCCTTCTCCTATTCTGTTGGTCATTGAAGTTCACCTTCGGCTCCCTGCTGGGACCTCCCTAGTTCGGTTCCCCTTCTCTTGGTTCACTCTTGTTGCCTAGTAGCCCGTCCAACCTATCCATGATAGCCTGAGTTCACCTCTCCATCATCGCATCTATCTTTGTGTCAAGAGTCCCAAAAGTCTGCTCTTGTTGAGTTCTCAACTTCTCCATGTTGTCTCTTAAACGTAACTCCCTTTGTTCTGCTTCCCTTGTCATCCGCGACCATTTCTTTGCCATATGTTCATCCGTTCTTTCCTTCAAGCGTTTTTCGCTTCTACCAACGTCTTGTCTATTGCGATTTATTTCTTCCCGCAGACTTTCTCTTTCAACGTGGACTGCTCTCTCTAGTTCAATCATTCTTATGGACATCTGCTCATTTTGCTCTCCTATACTGCCCACTATGTTGTTCATGGTTTCTTCAATTGATGCTCCGTTTTCTACTAGTGGCGTCACAAGTGGCGTTGTCACCCTGTCGATCCCAGGTAGCTTGGTACTGGTCGAGATTCGGGCTTTGATTCTCTGCCTCGACGTCTTTTCATTATCCACCTCTGGATCCGCCGATGCGTTGCTTAGCCCTCTGTTTCTTTTCTTCCCAGTTCGCGTTTCCGAATTCGTCACACTCACAAAGTCCATTGACTGGCCTGATGTGTTTGTGGTTTTGCTTATTGTCCTCACTTCATCAAATTTGTCCATGGTTCCAGTCTCTCTGTCGCTGTATGCCTCATTCTCCTGGGTCGAACTATTGAGACTGACTCGAGATCCAAAGTCAACTTGCTCATCATTGTCCTCTTCTTCCTCCTGGGGTTCACCTCCACCTCCTGTACCCACTCCCATGGTGAATGGAAAAATGTTTCCGAAAGT